CAAAATTGGAATGGACAACAATGGATATGAAGATATCATGTGAAGACATGAACTAGGAGAGAGAAACGAAAATGGAGAGAGATTTGCAAACCTATGTGTATCCACCAAAATGGTTATAGGTGGCACAACAACCCCATACAAATACATACACAAAGCTAAAAGAGTGTCACCGGACAACACTACACAGTATCAGATCGATCATATTTGCATCACTAACAAATTCAGAAGGTCAATGAAAGACGTGAGAATCAGGAGAGGAGCTCACATAGCTTCAGATCACCGCCTGATTGTGGCCAAGATGAAGCTGGAGCTAAAGAAACACTGGACAACTGAAGAAACAGCATTACAAAGTTCAATACAGACCTCCTACCACATACTGACGAACCCAACGAATTCAATGTAGTTCTCAACAACAGGTTCCAAGCTTTACAAGATCTACTCAAAGAAGAAGAGGAAACTACCATGGAGGACAATTGGAAATAAATCAAAGAAGCACTAACGTCAAAATGTCAAGACGTTTGCAGCAACTATCCTACAACCAATTTCGTTTATGGTTAAGCACTTTTATTAACTTACTTAACAGACAATGTTATTTAAATAATAACAATTCGCATGTTATCTCGATGGCTGTTGTCAAGATTTCCAAATGTTCTGACGTCAGAACAATAACAGTTCGCATATTTCTCTGCACCGTTAGAATCACTAGAGCACATGACAGATTCTAGCTAAAATGTTGATCGCCTAGGTATCACTCGATGATTCATCCTCCTCCCCATGTATATATGTACTCAAATCATAACATTAGCTTTAGCTTTGCTTTGCTGCGCCGCATGCAATTTGACTATAAATATTTCTATGTAATTGCTCGTATATACCTATTCGTCTTTCCGCTTCAAATACGCTCGATGTGCTAATAGGTTAGTGATCTGAGCTATCCGCTAATAAACTGTGGTTGCCGCTTCTCTTTGTCTTCTGATTTCAAACACTGTTGAGGTTTATATAATAACGGCTACGAGGGTGATTGGTTGAAGAAGCAAAGCCACTACAGGTTCTGGGTCGCAACAAGCATCATCACAGGAAATGCATCTTCTGTGAAACCCTGTTTCGGATTCAAGAAAGGAAGAATGAGAAGACAGAAATTAATGACAGTCGAATAAGAACAGAGAAATTCAAGGCACAATCTGAATGCGTAGAAGCAAAGAAGCAAGTGAAGACGACCATTTGAGGTGACAAGCAAAAATATGTGGAACAGCTAGCAGTGATGACGGAAAAGCTAAAACAGAAGGAAATATGAGACAACTATATGACACGACGAAGAAACTGGTAGGCAAGTACAGAAAACCAAAGAGACCAGTCAAGGATAAAGAAGGAAACACAATCACTGAGATTCAAAAACAGAGTAACAGATGGGTGGAACAATTCGACGAACTCTTGAATAAATAAGCTCCAATGAATCCACCGAACATCAAAGCACCACACACAGACCTCCATATACATGTCACTCCACCAACAATCAAACACATCAATTGTGACCATCAGACAAATCAAAAATGGGAGAGCAGTAATACCTGACATCATACCAGTCGAAGCACTGAAGTCACACACAGAAGCAACTGAAAGCGTTCTCCACGTAATATTCAAGAAGATTTGAGAGGAAGGACATGTGCCACAGACAGACTGGAAAGAAGGACAACTCATCAACATACCAAGGAATGAAGATCTGAGCAAATGTGACAACTACAGAGGCATAACACCACTGTCAGTACAAGGAAAAGTTTTCAACAGTGTTGCTCAACCGGAGGAAGGACTCAGTAGACGCTCAAATTCAAGTTCAACAGACCGCATTCCGTAAAAACCGATCGTGCACAGACCAAACTGTGAAATTAAGGTTCAACGTTGAACAATCAATCAAATGGAACTAGTCACTATGCATCAACTTTATTGACTATGAGGAAGCATTAGACAGTGTAGATATGAGTTTATGAAAACTTTCTCGACACTATGAAGTGAGTAGCTGAAAAAATCGTCAATATCATACGGAATTCATACGACGGATTACACTTCAATTCCGTGTATTGAGGACAGCTGACAGACAAATTCCAAGCGAGGACCAGAGTCAAACAAGGCTGATTTTTCTCACTCGCTCTCTCGACTTTCTCTTTTTTCTGGTGGTTGACTGGATTACGAAGACCTCCACATCTAATGGGAAGCGCGGAATACAATCGACAGCTTGGAACCAACTGGATGATTTGGACTACACAGATCTCCCAGCCCTTCTATGCCATACACACGAACAAATGCAGATCGAAACAAACAATGTAAAGGAAGCCTGTGAATCATTAGGCCTCAACAGACACAAGCGAAAAATCAACATCCTTAAATATAACACGGAGAAAACTAATCAAACAAATCTCATTTGGTGGCGAAACACTGCAACAGATGGAAACTTTCACCTACATCACTGGTCATCGTCATCGATGAACAAGGAGGATCTGATCCAGACGTCAAGCTGATGACTGGCAAAGCAACAACAGCATTTATACAATTGAAGAACACATGGAACTCAAAATAACTGTCTCTCAACCAATATCAAAGTGACAATCTCCAATACGAACGTCAAGACAGTTCTACTGTATAGAGTTGAAACTTCGAGAACCATTATCGAAATGGTACAAGTATTTATAAACAATTGTCTACGTAAGATACTGAATGTCTGTTGACCGGATTCCATCAGCAACACTCTACTATAGGAGAGGACAAACGAGCTTCCGGCTTAAGATGAAATTAATAAAAGATGTTGGAAGTGGATAGAACATACAGTACGGAAATCACCAAACTGCATCACGATGAAAATCCTGGCCAAGAATTACGAAAGGAAATGGAGAAGAGGGATACTAAAGAACCCACTGCATTGGGAATTATAAGCAAACATCAAAAAGATGAATAGCAACTAAAAAGGATCGTCCATGACAGATTTGAATGGAGACTACTTGTGGGTGGTTTACTCTCCTCCACGAGGATTAACAGTCGTAAGTTTTCTGACAATTAAGAATTCATTGTTTATAAAAGTCATATGAAACACACTCGATATTGTATCCAACCATATAATATGAAATAACACTATTCTATGATATCCTAATTCCATTCTTTTATTAGGAAGAATTCTAACTACATTGATTCATTTGAATAAGTTTCCTATTTCAATGTTCACCTGACTATTTGTTTTCTTTTTCTTCAATAATCACTTGTATATAGAAAAATCAAACCTTTATCAATCAGTTTTAATTAAATCAATATTTTCAGAATGGGTTTTGTTGAGATTTTTAAAAATTTCACAAGTCGAAATCATGAGTTGATTGAAGCTAAACCACCATGGAAAACCTGGAACCACTGGACGGCCGTTTCGTTCTAGTGCGGGACTTCTCAGCAGTGCATATCCACGACCCCGCACCACGCGGGATTCGAACCCAGGACCTACTGGTTTCACGCACGAGCACTTAGGCACTAGACCACTGAGCTGGCCGGCATCCAACGGTGTTAATGTCTAACTTCAACCAATCCACAAAGTTGCGCCACTGTACACCATTGTCTTTAGTGAGTTCCTATCTCACAACAGACCTGGTTGAACTCCACTGGTAACGGCTTCTCACTAGAACTCCAAAAGTATCTCCTGAAGTCAGTCACTAGTGAGCAGTTGATTATTATCGGAATGGGTTATGTGGAGATTTTTAGAAATTTCACAAGTTGAAATCATGAGTCAATTGAAGCTAGATCAGTAGGTCCTGCGTTCGAATCCCGCGGGGTGCGGGATCGTGGATGCGCACTGCTGAGGAGTCCCATACTAGGAGTAAACGGCCGTCCAGTGGTTCCAGGTTTTCCATGGTGGTCTAGCTTCAGTTAACTCAGGATTTCAACTTGTGAAATTAATATTTAATAAAATTTAACTTATTAATAATATAAAATACAATCTTACTGATAATTATGAAATATGTCATAACAGAAATGTAAGTTTTATCCATAGTTTCTCAAAAAACTCACTCAAATAAATATCCAAAGAATTGAAAAATCTATAAATAACTTTAAAAAAATCAGTTAATATTTCAAGAATTTTTAATTTGGTTAATTCTAGTTTAGTTACCATGATCAAATGAATGACATTTTATTTAGATTTTTTTTTGTGTGTGTGTGTGGTAAAAATAAGTTCAATTCCCTTTTTTTTCTTCACTTGTATCCATGTAAAATGATGAGTTTCTGTTCATTTTTCAATTGTTTTTATTAACTCATTCATTTATATTCTTTGTTTTATACACATACATAATGAGATCATTTTGCATAATTTATCAAAGAACATAGAGATTTTATTGATTTCACTATCAGTAAAAACAGCCAATGAAAAGTTTATTGACGGTCTAATATGTGAGTAATAAAAATGTTGATGACTGAAGTTAATACAAGACAACAACCATGAATGTAATAAGATTTGAAGTAGTAATCTGAAAGGTTGGATAATGACTTCGAAGATAATGGTTAAAGTGTTTTCCTTATTTTGATGATAAATGTGTACAAAAAATGGTAGATAATCAAATTCTAAAAATCACTCATCATTCAATATTGTGATGATTTTCTGGTTCATTAGTAAGAATCGAATTCAATGATCAAGTCAGTCGCGACCCAGATGGCTTAATGGTAACACCCTAGATGTGAAGTTAGTTGACATGAGTTCAAATCCTATAAAGCTCCACCTTAAACAAGCTTATAGGTATGCTTTTTTGATAAGTGTCAATTAACACGAAACCTATTTCCATCGGTTCCTGTTCCTTAAACCACTTAAAATAATCGAATTCTTTGAGTAAACTACATTTTGAAATAGGTGTAATGGTTATTTTAGTTGTATTAGCGAAATATATATGACGGTTAGGCGAGACTACAATTAACGGACGACCCTTTGAACGAATCTTAAGTGACCTTTAGAAATTTCAACTAATCAGAAAAAAGTCGGTATAGAGTAAGAATATATTATACAAAACCAAAAAAAGAATTGTAGACACTTTTTAAACATGATTTGAAAACTCTTCAAGGTTAGAAAAAGGCACTGCAGTTCTGAAATCGTAATGCATACGATACAGGAAATTATCCATGTGACTCCATAGTAGTCGACCTCTGGAGCCATGATAAGATCGCAAACATTCTTTTAGCCTTAAACATTGAGGAAATTATAAAATTGCATCATAAAGCAAGCGCTAACTTGAAATTATGAAAGGAAATAGAAAAGAGTAATACCAAAGAACGCACTGTGTCGGGAATTGGAAGCAAACACCAAAAAGATGAATAGCAACTGGAAACAAGTAGAAAGAATTGTCCAGGACAGAGTTAGATATAGAATGTTGGTGTGCAGCCTACCTACGCTGCTTCACGAGGAATAACAGGAGTAAGTAATTAAGCTATTAAACGGTATTATGTTGTCACAATTTTTGTATTACATAACATTAATACACAATTTTTATTATCTATCTAAAGGTAACAACTAATTGTGTCATGATATATTTTCGTCTTCGGACATATATATATAATGTACGTACTACATAATGATGTCATAGTGGCTAAATTTCTTAGAAGAATCAAAGCCATTGAAGAAATCAATAATATTGTTCCCCTTATCATTAAGACATTCAACATCTATAAACTGGATAACAAAACATATTGGTAGTGGTTTATGTAACCAGTCATAATAAATAATAATAATAATGATAATAATAATAATAATAATAATAATAATAATAATAATAATAATAATAAAAAATCAGTAACACCAGCTGACTTCAATAAAAGAAAATATTAAATACACATATTTAAGGCATCATTAGTAGAAACTAAACAATTTACTAAAAAAGTAAATGAGCAATGAGCAAAATGAACATTTTGGCATTACATAAACGATTTTAAAAAGAGAGAATATAATCAATAACAAAATAAAGGTTTTGACAAAGAAAGAATAAAATGTTTGTCTTTATTAAAATGTTCCAAAACAACAACAGCAACAACAACAAGAACAATTTTACATAATAACTAACGAAATAAAGAATGGATAAACGGTTATTTATAAAATACAATAGCACTTAATGATGATAATGTTTCAGGCACAATTAAATTAGATGGAAGACATAAGAATAGAGCAAGGAGTAAAATAATTACTCTATTGGTAAAAACTTTGAAATTATTGTCTTAATTCTAATGGAAACTAGATAAATACATCATTTAGTGTATTTGTATGTGTATTTTTAAGTGTATACTCATTAACGAACCATAAGTAGAGAGAAAATCTATAAAAAAAACAGAACATGCTAACAGTAATAGCATGGAGGAAGGTAAGATGAGGCATAAACTAAAAATAAGACTTCATCACGAAGGAATTAAAAGATCAACTGCGTTAGGAAAAAAACGAATTTCATGGTAAAGGACAAGTTACATGGACGAAATTTGTTGGGAAATGACCTTCTTGTCCATTTAGCTCACCCAAATACCAGTTGTCATCAATCTAGGTTTTTTTTTGTAAAAAGAAGAAATGAACAAACATAATGAAGAACAATTGAAGACAAAGTTACGGTAGAGTATAAGGTGATACCAAGACTTAGGTCTATCAGTTAATTAATTATTGAAATGAAGTGAAATGTACTATTACCGGTCGATCTGTATGTTATTTCTAAACATTGTCTCCGATGTTTACTTTATGCTTTGTACTATACTATGTATTCCGTAATATGACGCAATTTATGATTATTCTTACATCTAGAATATTTTATTAAAAGCAGCTTCTATTCCTTTCACTGCAATACAATGAATCGATCTCTCCGACGTTTGATTATTTTGTATATGATAACCATTTGAATTTTGTTTGTTTCATTGACATAATCAGATAGTGTTTGTCAACTGTCGGTACACAAATATACAGTGCTGTGGTTTTAGACAGATTTCGTAGTTTGACCTTGAGGTTTAAATGACTAACATACTTGTAGGATTAAATTACTGACAGGGAATCTATAGCCAGCTCATCTAATTTAGCTGGAAAAAACCAACTGAGCTTCCAACCTCTATAGAAAAACTTCCAAATAAAATAGGAGAGGGAACTTTTTCACATCAGAATTCACACAGAAACCGATTGGTGAAATTCACCAATCAGCAAGATATCTGTTTAAATACTGACATCAACAAATATTATGCTCTACACATTAATATCAAATCAATTTCGCCAACATCAGATTGGTATACGAACACAGAATGTTAATCAAATAGAGTACACACGAATTGGACTAGACATCTTAATTAACGTATAAGAAAGAGTTGTACGTTTGAAAACTATTACACAGATAAATACATTTAACTCAGTAACAAAACACAAGTTCTTAGATTATCATCTTAATGAATAAACCTTCAGGCAGTGAAAATGAACAGTTGTATACCTGAAACCAGTGATTCGAAGTCAAATTCTTGGACCATCAAATCTAATCCTCAGAGTAACGAGAATACCACCACGAGAAAATCAATACTTACACGTGTTAAGTGCACAAATAAATATTAAGGTATAACAGAATGACATTTTATTAAAAAAAAGAAACTAGTTAGTTACATAAATGAAATAAGAAGATAACATTTAAAAGTTATACCTGTTCAATTAAGTTGATCGATTCGCCCTTACAAAAAGATAGTTCAAAAGGACTTTCAGCAGTGAAATTATACAAAGCAACACATTGAGGTGTTCTTTTTGAATGATCTATATTAAGTTACATGGGAGGGGGAGGAAAGAAAGAGATAAACGATGAAAAAAATTAAGATGACCTAGTTAGCTAAAAATGAACTAATCATGTATTATACATTCTAAGGAAAGCAATGAGTTCTTCAAAAGAGAGCGACATTTTTAGAGTTGTTTGCATTTTATTTAGAAAGTAACCTAGTTTACCAGTGGTATATTCAAAGACATGATAGCTAATTCCTAAAACTCAACGTAAACGAGGTTAGTTGAAGGTTGAGTAGTTTAGTGTTAATGTTACAGACTGTAAAACTAAGTGATACGGGTTTGAACATCACAACGAGGATCAGTTTTCTTAAGATTATAGGTATGCCATACTAACAAGTGCCAACTAGCTCTAAACCTATGTCCAGCGTTTTCTATTATCTACCTTCAACCACCTCATATAGAATATTACGTAAACAAGTGTGGTAATCAAACAAAAACATACCATCGTATTTTGGCTTTATTTGGAAATTTGTAGACTCGTGACATAATGACGGTATATCTGGTAAAGCATCATTTGAACTAACAGGATATGGAGTTTGTCGTCTTGCATGATCACACCTAAAAAAATGAAACACATCTGTAGCACACTAATGATATATTTAAGAATTGGTAAATAAATAAGAGCTGGACACCGGAAAATCACCAGTACTGTAATATAGTAAATTATCGATTTGGAAAAATTCTATTCCAAGGTAAAACATTTTCCTTTTAATCTATTTATAATTATATTTCTTCTTCAAAAAAATACTACTGAAGAACAAGATGAGTAGCTGAAGATACTAATATGCTCTAAATATCAACATCATTCTGTCAGCAAATTAGACATATTCACTCAGTAGTTTACTCAGTCATTACACTATAGATATTAATTTTATGCTAATCTAATTCCAAACAATTTACAGATTGCAAGTAATTGTAATAATTAAATAAATTAGTTTTATAATTAATAGTGTCGAAAATAAGTACAATCAACTGTTTATAAAACACTATATGTGATAGCATCGAAAAGCCACTCAAATGCTCTGGTACAACCAAGGGTGAGTAATCCACTCTCCTTCTCGAAATGCCCTCATATAACCAAGCATAAGTCCAACTTACTGCCTTCACAGAACGGGGGTGTTTACGAGATCGAGAGGGCGAAAAGCGGATATCCGGTGCTTAAACCAGGTTGGTAGGTACGAAAATTCCACCCGGAGTTGGAAAAAGCTCATTCCAAATCATGGTGCACATGGGCTCCACAATCCAAGGGGAGCCAATGGCGTATGAACATATTCTTGGTCTTGATAATGTAATAAGAAGACGAAGATTATCAGAACTATGTGATATATTGGTGCAATACATTTCGAACAATTTGATCACACATATACATGTTAAGAACATTTATATATAAAAATAAAAGGTCAGCTAGACTGGAAATGGGGGCAAGAGGAGACAAGGATAATAATAATTGCTTTAAATATTCTTGGTCACAGACTACCATGGGACTGCATCTGTCAACGTTACTCCATTACCTTATGGATTGGATCGCTAAGTCAAAGGCTCAGGGAGTAGCTCCACAGGAAAAACCACCTATGCCAGTTTACAAACACAAACAGTATCTCAACCCACAAATAAATTTAATGATAACTATTTTGGGTGACGCATGTACATTTTGGTGCCCATTTGTACCAGTGTTTATGTGGTTAAACGAATGTTTAAAGAAAACAAATATAGAAACCATATCTAGGTGACCAAACATTGGATTAAAATTAAATTTGCATAGTTAGTAGGTCTTGAGTGCTGTTAGAGGTATGAGTGAAAATCTTTTCGATCTTTTATCTTATAGTACACAATAATTTTGGGTCGGCCATAAAAAAAATTATTGCTTTAAAAATCAGCGCTTGGAGAAAAAATAGCTAAAAAGTAACAATGAATACACACATTATGTGGTTGTTATGTTGAACGAAACAGCCAAAGAAAATTTACATTTATGAAGTATGTAAAATATCAAATGATCTAAATCGGTATATCTCCATCGAATAGGACCAATTTATCTATATAATTCACATATAGACAGAAGGATGTGAAGACAAAATATTATCACCTGAACCGTCATAAAGAAAATGTTACCATTAAAAGTAAACTTGTGAAAAAACTGAGTGGAGAAAAAGCACTTAAGAATTTTTAAACACCACTTGACGAAATCACTTTGGATTACATAATTTGTTAAATATTTGGTATGTTTAACATGTTCTTGAAGAGTCCCTCAGTCTAGAGCAAAACGAATATGTGAAAACAAGAGTAAGGATGTTAAAATGAAAACAGAATTAATTGTTGAAGTTAATGAAAGGTGATTTTAAACATATGAAAGAAAACATAAGTCTGAAAACAGAGTCTATTCAAACCCCACCAGTAGTCCTCGAACAGAGAGCCTGTACAAAGTTATTGCCAGTCATGTCCAACGTAAAACCGGGCATATATGTGTATCGCTTCAAGTTGTCAAACCACATTAGCACAGCGAGATAAAGTCATCAAGACAAATCACACAAATTAACAACAATATCAGCAGTATTAGAAAAGATTAGGTGCAGTACAAGTAAAAAAAACGTATAAGATTTCAGGACTCAGGGTCTAAAAGGAGATGAAAAGTGAATGGACCTGTGGCAATGAGAACGATTCTGAGCCGTATTACCCAAAGTCTCTAGTTACTGGTTATAATAATCAAGGGGATTCAAATCAGGCGATCTAAACCTATTACCATGGTTCAGTTCAATTCACAATGGCTTTACGAAAGGTTACTGTGCTTCTTTCGTATGCACTATCATCAGAATCGAATGCAGCCTTAAGGTCGAGAAATACAACTAAGAATGAGAGGGAGTAGGTATGTCTATGTTTCATAAACCGACGAAAGGTGAATATTTGGTCTACACATTCGAATCGAGGTGTGAAATCAGCCTAGTTTTCCTGAGTTCGCTCTTCACGAGCCCTAGTTAAGTGTTGGATGATTATTGAAGCTAGTATTTTAAACACTATATAAGTCAAACTGATTCAGTTTGATTACTAGAAGAGGGTTTTTATCCCTTCTTAAAGCTTGGTACGATCAGAGATCAAGAGTAGTTAGGTGTGATTCCGTTCGGTTCCTAGATCCTGGCTAATACCTCAGTCAATCAGACAGTTAAAACTAGAGATCACCATGCTTAAAGCTTTCGTAATTTAACCATTCAGGACTTTTCTGCCAGTCTGCATAGTTTTAGATCATTTATGGATTTTTCAACTTTATTGACCGATTCATCACTTCATTACATGCCAATTTCCTCCTAATTAGCCTATTATAACGACAAAAAAACAGTCAAGATAAAATAAAATATGCGAAAAGCAGTAATGAATAGTAAAATTACTAACAAGAGTTGTTACATATTTTGTACACGTGACAATACAGGATAAGGTTACAGCGACAATTATTGACATAAGCTGGTAAATTAGCTTTACACAGTGATATAAAAAATAAGCCAGTAAAGCAATGTATGTAAGTAATCTACTAGTCAATTAAAAAGGAAGTTTTCTGATAATTATTGTGACTTAATGTAAAAGGATACAAAAATATGTAACGACTAGAATAATACATAAGAAAAGCAAACACTAACTAATGAAATGAAAATTAACTAATGAAAAAATGTATATATATATATATATATATATATCGAGTTCCAGAGTGAACATCAACAGGTACACCCAGCTGACGAGCCCCGAATAGAACGGAACTCACTTCCTTAATTATACGCCTAGTCATCATCCATCTCTTCTACATATGTAGAAGAGATTAAATAGTGAAAAAAATTGTATACATTCAAGTATTAAATCAAGTACAGTTAATGACTTCACATAAAGAATACAGAATGCAAGTAAGCGAACAAACAATCATTCACATATACAGACGAACGTTTCCAGTAAAATGTGTTATTCACTAATCTAACTAATAATTTAGTATAACGAATTAGATATTGGAAATAGAATTTATAAAGTGTGTAAATAATATGATCAAGTGTAAAATGATAGACTTTCCTATTTTATAAGTGAAAGAAATTTTTTCACAATGAATCATAAACAAAGAATTTAGAATGATCAAATTAATGATTTTCAATGGTATAAGAGGGAGAGTATGTGTGCATTAATTTTTATACTGTTGCATAAATCAGAATAAACAATTTTGTGATGAGTGGAACATTTATAGCTTTACTAAGCGGTTTAAAAACAAAAAAACCTAACCAATTATTGGTCAGTAGATTTTACTGAAATATCGTCTGATTGTCCTGATAATGTATTAAAGTATAGCAACTTGAATTAATATGTGTTATTGCCAAATACTATATTATTTATGTCTAATTGTTTACTAATGGTCAGAGAGTGAATAAATTTCGAAAAACAACAATAAGAGGACAGATAGTAAAAAACAAATAACATGAAAAAAATAATAAATGAACAGATCGAGGATACTAAGCTGTTCAATATCAATCACAATGGTACTATTACGATAAAAACCTGACAAATCCGCTTACTTGCCAAGATTAGATCTTATTATGAGGAGTGGTTCATTTTTAAACAATCAGCGCGAGTTGATAAATCGAAATTATATATATATATATATATATATATATATATATATATATATATATATATATATATATATTCTGATTTGGGAAGAGTGTTGTGACATACAATGTTTAATGAAATACAATAGGGTGATTAGAATGAGACAAAGTAGGTACACCCACCACGTCATATACAACCGTTCGATAATCTGGATAGGACACAGAAGATATCAGTCAGCCAGTGAGCTATAACGTAGGATCAGGTAAATACATGCATCTGACCACGTTACCACCCCCCATTAGCACAACATCAACACCAAATTCATACAAGTACTTACTTCAATGATAGTAATATATAAAAGAAAGATTGTGTATAAGGATATAATACAGGAAAAAAGAACTGGTTCGTAGGAAAAAAGGTATAAAGTAATTTTAATCTCATGGTTTAAGGAAAGACAGAGAGTATATACACCGACGCCATCATGATCGATTGTGAGCCATGTCACCCACAGTCTCCAACCATTGGTTACGATAGTCACGCAGACCACTAGCAAGTAGTCCGCATCTTCTAACATGGCTCAGACCAAAAGTAAGTTACTTCAATGACTGATGCCACCTTTTGGTTTGGTCACCCCTAACTTTCTTCCAGCCGTCTCCAATACTAGTCAGTATTGTGCGTCGTGGTGAACGGTGTTCAGGCATACGTGACAGGTGGCCAAACCATCTCACTCGATGAAGATTTACAATCTCATCAACTCATTTACCATCAGTCCCTAATAGTTTGTGTCTGACCTCATTATTACTTACCCAGTGATCCCAGAATATACGAGTAATATTTCCAAGACATCTGTAATCAAATACTAGTAGCTTACGAGTATCTTCTACTTCTAATGGTCACGTTTCGCAGACCTTAAAGTAGAACAGAACGAACTGCTGCACAGTACATTCGCCCCTTAATTGATAGACGGAAATTAAAATTGGGAAGAGAAGGCTTAGCGTGATAAGATAAAATGTTGAAATTGAGGTGGACTGTAATCAGAAGGATCTCAGAAACAGAAATAAATCAGTTTCAGGTAAAACGTCTATGGAGAAGATAGAAAATGGTGGCAACGGAAGAAAAGCATGAAGAAAATTATGAGGTGTTAAGACCATGGCAAAAGAAGAGGTTGTACCAAATTCTCTTAAATATATAAGTCTGGTTTTACCAGTTGTATAGTAATTTCTTCTGCAGTGTTAAGAAGATACAATATAAATGCTTTCGGCAGTTTTCTACTTCAATTGTAGATGAATTTGAACCCCGAGCCCGCGTTGACTGAAAAACCTTTGTTCACAAGGCGGTTAATTACTGGCCGTCTCCACCTCATTTTTAGCCAAGCCGAGCAATTTTCTTAAATTCTTTTGGATAAAATACGTATCAAACTGATAAGTCTTGCGAATTGAACGCTATATTCGTTTCCTAAACTATTCTGGAAACCCGCAAGCTAGAACTACACAGCGACCTGAACACCAGAGAGAAGACGCAAAGTATGAGAGAAATACTTTACTACAAGGTTCATTTTTGTACATAAAACATGGGTATTTATAGATGTTAGCGTTTGTTAAATCAACATCATATTTCGGCCAATCCGTTAACGACATATTATGCTACTGACCAATAGTAGCACGCCACGTCGGAATTCTAGAATGCTCCATCGTGCTCTGATTGAATGTGATAAGACATTGAGCACAGTTAAATGCTATCTCTCGACAAAATGGCCGAACAATCGCCTTGACGGAGAACTTTTGCAATATTTTCGTCGGCGGGACTCACTAATGGCTGTCGACTCGTGTTTTATGTTCGGTGATCGAATTGTTATTCTGAAGTTGTTACGTCACAGGGTTCTCAAGCAGTTTCACAGTGGCCATCCTGGAATCAATAAAATGAAATCGTTGGCTCGTAGTTATGCTTATTGGCCGTCAAGCCGCTAAAAATCCTTTGAAATGCGAACCTCAGTATTGGCCTACGCCTGCAGGACCCTGGGTAAGACTTCACGCAGATTTCGCTGGTCCAATCCAAGGAAAAATGTTTCTAATTATCGTAGATGCATTTACTAAATGGCCGGAAGTATATACCATGCCGAACTGTACAACATCAGAAACAATCCAAAAGTTGTCTACCCTGTTTAGCTGTTTCGGAGTGCCAGAGACCTTAGTAACGGATAACGGCTCGCATTTCGCCGCAGAATCGTTTAAGCATTTCTGTAGAACAAACGGAATAACTCATCTTCGTCCTCCACCCTATCATCCGCAATCAAACGGACAAGCAGAACGCTTTGTGGACACCTTTAAACGAGCATTACTGAAAGGGGGAGGCGAAGGGACGACTGGGCAGGTAATCACAAAACTTTTAACATCCTACAGATCCACCCCGAACCCGAATGTTCCAGACGGCAAGTCTCCTGAGGAAGCCATGTTTGGAAGGCGTATTCGAACCGTCTCCAGCGCCATGATGCCATCCAAATTAGTGGATGAGCGCAGTCACAACCCATGTATCCGGAACTTTAATGTTGGTGACAAAGTTTTCATTAAATCCTACATCGGGAAGAACCGATGGGAGCCGGGAGAAGTTGCACAAAAATTGGGAAGAGTTCTGTACAGAGTCCGAGGAACTTTTGGAACGTGTATACGACACACAAATCAAATCCATAAGGACAAAAGAACGATGCAGACTCGAAAAAACCGGCCGAATTTTCCGTTAGAGTTAATCTTAGATATACCAATGCCACACAAGCCCAAGAACACTGAAAAGAAGCCTCAGACAAGGAAGACGTCAAGAATAATGGGACGCCGCCGCAACTCAGTTTTCAAACTACAAGTAGATCCTAGAAAGAAATCTTATTCGGGGGAGGTGTTGAGTCAACTTTCGGAGAACTTCAACGGAGCCTCCAGAGGCCTAAAAGGAGCCGAAGAGTCCTTGTCAATCAGAGCACGATGGAGCATTCTAGAATTCCGACGTGGCGTGCTACTATTGGTCAGTAGCATAATATGTCGTTAACGGATTGGCCGAAATATGATGTTGATTTAACAAACGCTAACATCTATAAATACCCATGTTTTATGTACAAAAATGAACCTTGTAGTAAAGTATTTCTCTCATACTTTGCGTCTTCTCTCTGGTGTTCAGGTCGCTGTGTAGTTCTAGCTTGCGGGTTTCCAGAATAGTTTAGGAAACGAATATAGCGTTCAATTCGCAAGACTTATCATAAACGACCTTTATATCTGGCTCCACATGAACAAGTAAATTGATAAATGGACATAGAGTTGGTCAGATGATATAATATATCCTTATGATCATTAATCGGTTGAAGAACAGTATTCGTGAAGTTGCTGTGGAGAACGTTCTTTTAGAGAATCATAAATTCTCCTCTTCAGGACGTCTGTAACTCCATCGCCCTTAAAATCGGTATTCATGTGAAGTGTTTTCTTTTCAACCGAGTTTATTTGTGCTCTAGGCGGTTTAATTTTTATTTTCTTGCCAATAAATTTTAATTAGAACGAATACAGTAGGATAATAAAATAAATTTGAATAACTCCCATATTGTTCTAATTCACAATATGAGATTGTTTGAAATTTTACAGTCGTGTGGGGATCCGATTACATTTAAGATATTCAATGAGTTTCTAAAGTTTAATCCCTGTTCCACTGAGCCAAAAACTTTATTTAAAAAATACAATTAAAATGTACGTTTTCAGTTGATCATTTTTCCCCAATAAATCCGAGTTTATCAACCACAGTAACAATAAAAATTGATTTTAATGAACAAATTAGTTCATTTTTTTCCATATTTTTAAACAAAAAATCATTCTGACAGAAATGCAGTACACAAACTTACGCATCCAGCAATCTGAAAAACAAAGAAAGTATGATAAGCAGGATGTATGCAATACTAATGAGCACAAATAATCAATATATATATATATATATATATATATATATATATATATATATATATATATATATATATATATATATATATATATATATATATGCAGTGACGCATTGGAGATAGTTGAAAAATTCGTGTATCGGAATAGTTGTGTAAGTACTGGTGTTGGGTGTGGTGGGAAGATTTACGTAGATAAGGTGAACACCAGAACAGCTTACACCAATAAGGACCATCTGCGACGCCTGTCTGTAAGAGGTTACATCTAAAACCCGCCGGTTAGAGAGACTCGGTTATATGATCTTGCATGGTAAGGATGTCAGGGGACTCTCTGAGTTCGGTCCTGATTGTCTCCGAAGGTGACAACGCCATTTTAGGAACGTTGACATCTCAAAGCGTGTTCATGTCAGGGAGCAATTAGTGTTACGATCTTGAAATATTTGCTTCTGTAGTTCGGTTATTCTAGGGGTTTCCACGTCGTGCATTATTGCTCTTTATAAAAGTGAGAGGAATTCCCTTAATTGAACAAGTTCTTTCGTCACTGTATTTCTAACTAAAGTATATTTCCTATTAACGTAATCAGAATTTGATGATACATATTTATTGAGATATTTTAAGCATGTAATAATTTACAATAGTGATAAAGAAACTGGTGATTTTGTGATCATGAACGACTGTCGTTGCTATAATGGTTTACACACATCAAACAAGCAATTACATGTAGAAACGATAGATCAGGGGTAGGCTTCAAGAACACTGAAGATATAATATCAATTTAGAATGTTACTAGTTATTGATCTAAAACAAGTGAGTCTGTTTGGACCTTGATAACTAATCTAAATTAGATGGATGACAAGGGTATTTACTACAATGTTCAGGATTAAATAAAGTCTAAGATTACAGTCAAACCTCAAGTACTTATAACTACGTGGTTGAATGGTACTTCTAACAGGTGTTGTTAAAAGTGTCAAGACCTAGGACTTATGTATTTAGACACACCATGAAATACACCACATATCGTTAATTTCCAGTTTTACGGAGAAATGAACTAAGAAAAATAACGCAAGAATATGATAGTAAAGAACATTGTCTAAATAAAAACGCGGTCAAAATATGCTTCATCCCATTCAAAATACATCTTGCTATGAATGCATGATTAAAAACATTGTGATTTTGATTTAAACATCAACGTTGAATATTCTTCCCGCTTTCGACTATTTTCGCACCCTTTTAGTATCAACAAACTACAAGTTATAGATGTTGTTGGAATGTAACACATAAAACATGTTGAATTTGGTAAAAACCGATGCTTCAGTATGATATTGATATATGAGTTAGAATCCCCAAACGCCAACATGGTAGACAAACAATCGACACGATAATTTGTGTTGAATTATTTATAAATACAAATGTTACAACACATTTTATACGTATTATAATGTGAGTTTTTTCATTTCCTTTCACTTGAGAAGTTATAGTAGATCTGTAGTTATATAAATGAGAGATACTTAGTTTATTTTCAGTCACGTAAATATGTTGCGACCGATACACTTGACAGACATACATGGTTGTTATTAATGCTGAAATTGTCAGGGACTTCATTTTAATGTGTTACAACACAAGTGTATAAATAAACACCGCAGATCATATCAAGGTGGTATGATATATGATAACAAAATGACTCAGGTAAACATGACGTTGGTCATTAATTAATCCGTCTAACGCTGCCGCGCCTAAATGGGTTACTCTGGATTTTGAACAGAACAACTTATTTATTCTCCTTAGTTCATTAGCCGTACATACATTGAAAATATCAACTAATCGCTTTTAACCTTGACTGTGTTTATTTGAGCCTATATGTATGCCTATCATATAGTCTATTATTCACATGTATTTATTTTTCTGTTTGGGTATAAATAGTGAGTCACGCTTTGTCAGTTGAGGTTGACACGCTTACCTTCTCCGCTCGCTTCTCATCTTGAAGTCTGTTTGAGTAAACAAGCGCATGAAAGAAATTAATCCATGGTTTTTAATTACCGCCATCACTCAAACAGAGTAGCCTAAGTAGAATGTACGGAATTAATTAGAAGATTTATGTTCATGACTCCTTCGTAGTACGATCAAAAATGGATCTCGGGCCACCAAAACATTCAGTCGTATACTAAAATAAACTAACCTCATTTCAAGTTCTCCATGTAGATCGGATAAAATTCGAGCAGCATCCTGATAGAAGCTTAATTGAGCATTAACGAAATTAGACAAAGTTTTGATTTGTTCAACCTTGATGTTTGTAACGAATTCGTGCATGAACAAAATGTGAGCATGTTAAGTAGATAGTAAAAATAAAAGTCAAAACTTAGTGAAATACAACGGATAAAAGTCTATCACTGGACAAACTTGTTGAATAGATCGATGTAAATTTGCTCCATATTGAAAAAAAACTTTAGTGATATTTGATAACTTCATCAAGTAATCACAAACAAATTTATATACTAGGTTATGAAATTACAATTCATAAATAATGGTTACTGATAATTCCAATCGTAGCTGCTATCTTATTGTGGTGATCGAACTTTCCTATCTTCATGACTCATTCAAGCTATACTGGCTGAAACACCTGTTTCTTTAAACTCTCAGTCAGTCGGCTACAACGTAGAGCCAGGCACACATATACATTGGTCCAAGTTACCATACCTTTTTGGCTCTACCATGCTAATCAGGTTGGTTGAAGAACGGTACGACTAAAAGTAGAAACTCAAAGTCCAAAAACGAAGATGTTCTACTGACGGCACTAATGTGTGAAATTATTATGATGTTTACTTTAGATAACTGACATCCTCAGTGACACTGCCTTCTTCCAACCAAGAAAGAGGTAGAAACGGTCAGCTCTAAAAATACCACACCTCATCTTAAGCCATAGATTCCCGTCGCTAAGGGCAAAGAATTTAAAGTGCACAGCTAACGACTAGGAGAATGACCGCGTTTGATCGGTCCTGAGCAGTTGTCCCTTGGGCTCTGAGGTCACGCTTCTAGGTAGTCAAGATCACTACTAACTCAGTTTCTTTTCAGATCTCTCAAGAAGTATCCTTCCAAGGTCTTTAACTTTTTATGCCACCCAACAAAATATCTAAATACTTATATCCTCAAGATTAACTGAGTATTCATTAATTGTGACACAAGGGAACCTTAGAGTAAAAACTATTTCATCATAAAACAACTACAATTTTATGAATGAACATGTGATCACATCACTAAACATATAGCTGCTAATCACGTTTTATAACTAACAGTTAAATAATTTTAAAAAATGACAATTCAGGTTAATCTATCAGAGAATCGATAATAGATAAATACAATGTAGCCATTATACTACAGCAATGAAAATATTTTTGATAGAACAGTTGTTGAGTTGCAATGTTGTATTTTTTTCTAGGTCTAATACATCACTAAGCCAAATGTATAAGCCTCCGCAAACGAATGGTTTAAGTAAACCAATTTAACGGCGAAAATAGTATTCGAAAATTACAATTCGAATTATCAATATGAACTAATCGTTATTTAAAGAGTCATTGACCTGATCGTAGCTTCCACCTTAACTTGATGACCAGGTTTGTCTATCGTGATGACTCAACCGGGCTATATTCGCTGAAACACATGTTTCTTTAGGTCCTTTCATGCCAAGCAGGTCGGTTGGAGAAGGCATACTGCTGACTGTAGAGTGGTGGGACAGCAGTAAGGTATTTCCCTCGGACAACCAGCATCTGCAGTGGTCCTGCCTCCTCAGAACGGGAGGAAGGGTTTAACCGTAAGAATATCACACCTTACCTTACCCCATAGATTTCCATCTCTGACGTTAAGGTCTTTCAAAGTGCGAAGGTAACACATCAAGAACTTCTCATAAAAAGGGCGCACATGATCGGCCTCAAGCAATTGTCCTTTGGGCCCTATGTTCATACCCCTTGGTCGCTAAAATCACTACCAATTCAGTTTTTTCAGGTTCCTCAAGAAGAAATATCCTTCCACGGTGTGGTAAACAGGAAAGTAAAAACCCACTCATACCTCTATCAGCACCCGAGATCATCTTGCTGACGATCGAATTCCTCCCTCACCTCTTGATAATTCCTCTATCCGCACCACTAACCCCTCTCGTATATCTTTATCACCACACACCACCAACACCAGTGATTTGAGTTCACGAAATGTTATTCCTAGTCTCCTGAAACCACTGTCTAAACTACATGTTGTAGCTTTTAACAGGGTAACAGGCTTCTTTAACTATGACTCCAGAATCTTGCGCCATCCATGTATTTTGCGTCTTCGAAACGCACATACAGGATTCACATATAGTCATCCGTTTGACCTCGCCTTCTCAGTATAAGGAACCGACACGATTTACCCTTCGAGTATCTTGGATCCCAGCTGCTACTCCCCATGGCTTCGCTGGTATAGGTTTTGAATTAAATACAAAAGCAGGGCAAGTTCTGTTAGATTTTGTCCTAATAGGCAGTCGTTTGTGCGCTGTCATACGAAACAGAATGGTAAGAAATCGGGAAAATATACACATACCGATGCCTTTTCGTTGTCATTGCCTACGCTTCCATGGATTCGCAGCTCGGATGATGATTTACAGTCTCATCAACTGATTTACCATCATTTCAGTTCAGTGAAACTCATAGAAATATGTGCTCGAACTAGAGCACGATGTGAGCCTAAACATAGGTTCTACAATGAGCGACAGTTCTGACGAGTTTCTCTAACGATGGTTGATGGAGATGTGGTTTATTTCGGTCGATTGTGGGATTCGTCACGTCAGACGATGTTTCTCTTTTCTTTAAACATAGGCTCACAACATGTTCTAGTTCGAGCACATATTTTCCTGAGTCTCACTGGACGTAAAAGAGCCACAGAAAGAAAACCCCTTAGAGTCCAACTTAATGATGAAAACGCTAAGAATATATTTCGGGAACGAGAGATAGAGCTAGTCAACCGTGAATATGATAACCACCCCGAGGTGGCTTTACATGACATCTAGAAAGCTACGGAAACAGCAGTGATATCTACTAGTGATTTAAACCTAAAGGTTAGGAAAAATCAGTGGGTTTCTGCAACAGAGACATAATTTTCGACTTCCAACTGTTGTTGTATTCCTTGAACTTAATGAAGCATCCGACTCCATTGATCGTGAAGTTCTGGGGCAATGTAGGTCATTGAAAGGTGTCCCAAAAAAGTACAGTAACCTCGTGCAGGCTTTTTATTCCAACACTATCTTTCGGGTCAGAGCTTATACTGAACTGTCATTGGGATTGGTTACTTTCAGTGGTGCTCACTACAGTTGTCCGCTCTCCTCATTTTTATTTATTTGCTTCTAGAAATAACAATTTCAGAATTCCTCCTTCTACCAGGAGATTTACTTGTTGACTTAGAATACTCAGATCGTATAATTCTTTCTGGTAAAGACGCTAACAAAATGCTGTCTTCTGACCACCTTAGGCAACAACGCAACCATATTTGGGATGTGGTTTTCTTCATCCAAATGTAAAATGTTAATTCAGGATTGGCTTGTGTAATCACCTGAATTAATGATAGGGAGTGAAACAGTTGGACATATCAACCGCCTCACTTATCTTAGGAGCTTCATCGGTCCTGATGGCCTGGCGTCTGACAATGTACATACGTACCAGGTTCCATGTTGCAACTGATTAAAAAATACTATGAGATTAAAATCGCTTCATATATTTATTTCTACGGACTAATTTTTTCTTCCTGTACTTTGTCCTTATATGTAATGTTTCTTTTATACATTACCACCATTGAATTAACTACTTCTATGAATCCAGTGTTCATCTTGTTGTGCTAATGAGGTATGGAAACTTGGACCGATGCATATATGTGCCTGGTCCTACGTTGTAGCTGACTGACTGACTGATTAAAAAAACACTGAAATACTTTTTAAAGAATAACTACCATTTTATCAGACAAACACTTGCCCTTTGCTTGACATATATTGTTTTTGAATATATTAATTTATTTTGCAAAAAATACAGCCAAATTCCATATAAGCCAATCAATCTGTAATCAAATTTTAATAGCTTTAAGACAATGCTATCAGCTTTATTTGATTGAAGTTTAATAAGGTGATGTACGAAGGATACTTCAGCAAACCTTGAGATGGGATCCAAAGCAAACTATTATTAGTACAGACGACAAAAGTACATGTATATCCCGAATTCGCCAAGCTCGATGATGGAGGCAAAAACCAGTAACACGGGTTCTTACTAATCTTGTTGTGTGTGCTACTTATATCGACATAAGGAGTATATGATGTTAAGTCAGAAACAGAATGTCTGGCAGTAGAGAGACAAGTGGATCGAATAGTAAAGAATGGGAACAGAATGCAATTTGTATGAAAATGCAAGAACAGTGAAGTCTGAGTCACTATGAGACAATCGATGGACATTTTGCAAATTACGTATTTACCATTTGATTGTTAGATTTTATTAACAAGTCCTGTAATTTTGTATCAAATACATTCGATTGTCCCCACCCGTGTTCTGTTCACTACAACCTCTCTAAAGTGTTCAATATTAATAAATTCTATCACACAGTTGAAACCAATACGCTAGCTGCTACACTCCGAACATGATCGATCAGCGCAAAAAATATTAGATATTGATTGCTAGTTAAGATATACACATGTATCGATCAACTGCTTAATTATTCTGATCATGTCAATTTTTATTGTCAGTTATTTTTTAATTCTGTTCTATGGTAACAAGACTATCTATCATTGAAAAGATGAACATATACACACAGGATAGATACACACATATATACACGCACATATATATACAAAAATAAACAATCCAAAATAATATAAAGTAATCACTTCAGTATCCAAAAAGTTCGACATAGCTGCTGTACTAGCTGCCAATGAGTCTTCATACTGAATTCTACACTCCTCAAATGCTTGATCCGGGTGAGCATTGGCTATTGTTATTTTACAAATTATAGTTCGAGTCCAAATGTGGATTATGAAAAAAAGGAAACAATAGTACAATACATTGTAATGATGCAATCATAAGGAATATATTGGCATAAACAAGTAATTTAAAAAATTTCGATGAATTTACACTTAAACAATTAATACGAAGTATAAAAGTTAGTAACTCCGCCTGTATTTCTTTTAGGGTTACTGTCGGTCCCAAGCAAGGATAAAGAAAAAGGGTTGGGTATGGGGTCAGCAACCTCATTCAGCAGAGAACAACCTTGTTAAAAGTAAACTAACCAGAACAAACCAAACCATTTACACTCTGTCCTCCGAGTTGAAAGATATTCATTCAGAAAGTTGTGATGCCTCATGGTGAAAGCCAAGATTCTTAGGAAGTCACGAGGTTGATGCCCCTTCTAAAAACCAAGGCAACAATTGATACAGGTGTATGAAATATCTAGACAATATGGGAGACCAAGAAGATCAACCAACTTGTTACGAAATTAGGATAAAACTTGGAGGTTCTCTAAATCAACGAAGCCCATTCGATTCAAGCTGTACAGAAAAATTTAGATTCGGGAGAGATGCTGTTGTACTCCAGTCACGAAGAAGCTCGTGAAACACTCATAGAATGAGTATCTCATCAACCCACGATCATCAAAACATCCTTCAAAACAAAGCACCACACACAGACCTCCATATACATGTCACTCCACCAACAATCAAACACATCAATTGTGACCATCAGACAAATCAAAAATGGGAGAGCAGTAATACCTGACATCATACCAGTCGAAGCACTGAAGTCACACACAGAAGCAACTGCAAACATGCTCCACGTAATATTCAAGAAGATTTGAGAGGAAGGACATGTGCCACAGACAGACTGGAAAGAAGGACAACTCATCAACATACCAAGGAATGAAGATCTGAGCAAATGTGACAACTACAGAGGCATAGCACCACTGTCAGTACAAGGAAAAGTTTTCAACAGTGTTGCTCAACCGGAGGAAGGACTCAGTAGACGCTCAAATTCAAGTTCAACAGACCGCATTCCGTAAAAACCGATCGTGCACAGACCAAACTGTGAAATTAAGGTTCAACGTTGAACAATCAATCAAATGGAACTAGTCACTATGCATCAACTTTATTGACTATGAGGAAGCATTAGACAGTGTAGATATGAGGAGTTTATGAAAACTTTCTCGACACTATGAAGTGAGTAGCTGAAAAAATCGTCAATATCATACGGAATTCATACGACGGATTACACTTCAATTCCGTGTATTGAGGACAGCTGACAGACAAATTCCAAGCGAGGACCAGAGTCAAACAAGGCTGATTTCTCTCACTCGCTCTCTCGACTTTCTCTTTTTTCTGGTGGTTGACTGGATTACGAAGACCTCCACATCTAATGGGAAGCGCGGAATACAATCGACAGCTTGGAACCAACTGGATGATTTGGACTACACAGATTCGAAACATATAAACCCCACATTTAAATATCCTCTCTCATGGTAATTCAAATATGGATAGACAACTGTCCAATCTCAACCACTAGATATGCATTAAACAGACACACAATTGTTGTTTTCTGCACACTCGATGGTCACTTTGAGATTGAAAGATAAATTCCATAGACTAGCCACCACTTTCTGCATATATCATTTCAACTGCTTATGTGGAGCAGGTGTGGCAGGTGTTCTAGGAATTAGTATTTTCGGGTTCATGAGCACCTCCCAGTGTGGCTAAGCAAATGTTTGGTTAAAAATGTTAACAGCTTGGTTTTGGCTGATCGAGTACAAACGAGAGCAATCATTCACAACAATTTTTATTTATTTATTTATTTGAACACATAAATATTTATACAAGAGGGCACCAAATATATATGCGCCACACAAAACAATGAGAATTTAAAGAGAAGGAAAAAGAAAAAAGGCAAGGAGCGTAAAGAAAAGAGAACGATGACGAAGAGGTTGGTGTAAGGTAGTGTAATAATAATGATAGTAATAATGGGGGAACGGAAAGGTACAATCAGAAGAAATCTTTCAGTTAAGGAAGATACAACCACTTTTTACGAAGAAAGTAAAAGAAAGTTACAGCAGGATCGCCACTGGCTTCCATTCTGAGCCATATCTGATAACGTTTCTAGCCACTGTGTAGCACCATCTCTCGGACCCCAACCAGGGAGTCGTGAAGGACCAACACAAGCCAGTCCTTTGAAGCTTTCTTTCATACCACGACACCATGTTATGCACTGACCACCTCTCCGCTTTTTCCAACCAGTCCCAGCGTCGGCAAATAATGCACGACGTGGAATTCTCTGTGACGACACTCGTAGAACATGTCCAAGCCACCGAAGTCGGTGTTTCAAGATGGTGACACCAATTGCATTATCATCTCTGTGCCCGAACACACAATGCCAAACCTCTGCATTACTAACATGGTGTTGCCATTGGATGTCAACAATCCTTCGGAGACAACTATGATCGAACACAGAGTCGTCTAACGTCCTCAACTCGGAGAGGCCAGGTTTCACAAGCATAGAGCAAAACTGCTCTCACCGATGCGTTGTAGATCCCACCTTTTACAGCCAGACTAACATCACGAAGGCGCCAAAGGTGGCCCAGATTGGCATAAGCCGCTCTGGCTTTCACTATACATTCATTGATCTCATCACTCAAACCCTCACCAGCACTTATGCAGCTACCTAGATATTTATGGAAACTACTTTTCTTGCTTCAACTAACAATCAAATGATTCAAATTGCTATCATAACTAAAGATCATCTTTTAAAAAAATTGTATCGGTCTAATCTGCCATATCATACAGTGATCATGAACTAACGAGATGTATACCTAAGGAGCCGAAGTAATGGTAGTAAGAAAGAATAAACATAAACGAAATGAGTCCGCAGAATAGAATTATGAAATAACACTAGAATTAACAATCAAGGAAAAGATAAACCGTTTCGAATTTTCAGCTGTAACATAAAGTCTCGGACAATAGATCACGATTATGGAGTGGGCCTGGATCATTAGATGTGTCTTCAAACTACGGCTTAGATCAAGGTTCAGTGACCTCATGAACTCATGTTATTACTGGTTAGACCATCCCAAGATTCCAGACCACTCACCATTCAGTGCCAAGGCAAAAGGTGATAGCGCATACACATACGTGACCACTTTGGTCGATGGAGATTAACAGCATTAACGATCGATTTGGGACTTTTACCCAGTGTCTCACTTTAACCCCGATATCACTTACTTGATTGGTCCATCACACACGAGCAACGCTTTGGACACATATACGATCATATGCTGCTGATGACCTACACAGTTTCTCTCCCTTTAAAAATCACGTTTCACCGTCACAAAGTAAAATAGAACCCTGAGTATTCACTTTTTGATAAGTAGATAAATGTATCGCATGCACCACAAATGGTGCAAGCTCGTGAAACCCGACGGAATCTTTCGATTATGTGTCTAAACGTCCTCAACTACTACTAACCCGCGAGAACTGATGAGACTATGAAGGTAAATGGAGCCCGACTACTTTATTTCTAAAAGTGATGCAAACCAGTTCTGAAGCAATACTTGTAAAATAATGTTAACTTACAATGAAAGATATTATGAAATTAACCAAATGCTCGAAAAACCAATGACAACTTGAGCAAGTATTTCTAAACTACATTTATAATTCGTTAAACAACTAAGCCAACCTAATGAATATGATAAGTCTTATTAATGTGTGAAATGAAATTCATAGTTAGGAAGAATAACCAAATAAATGTATTAAAATCAGAGGTATATGAATTTACACACCAGCGAATAGAAAATAAATGAGTGTAATGATCATAAATCACCATGATAAATAATAAAATATTAAAACACTCACTTGTGAACGCATCTAAATTAGGTTTTAGATACATAAATATCTTATAATTACCAAATTTCAGAGCGATATTTTTACAGATACATAATTTAAAAAGGATCAACATGTATACTTGTTTTGTAACTATGTTAATGATTAAATTTACCCAAAACAACTGCATTACCAGTAACAATAAATTACGTTTAAGCAATGAACTAAATTGACACTAAATAGTACAGTGATAATGACTTTTTATAGTGAGTTTATTTCAAGAAACATTACAAAATTAAGTGATACGATGACCAAGGCAATGAACCTATGAAATAAAACCGATTAATGTTTCAGGTATGACATGGAAACGTCAATCATTTTGAAAGCCGAGATTCAAGACCAACTCAGTCTGAAACATTAAGCAAGTTAAAATTGTAATTAGCAAATTTAAAACTACTAGTTCATTCATTATGTTGTTCAAGTGATTTTAGTGAGATCAATAAATAGAAGGATTCATAAAGAACTAGATTCTATATGTCCATTATTCTGGTATCCTAATCAAATCATCAAGAAAATAAAACAATAGTAATAATAAGCACCGGAAATTAAAAAGAAGAAAATTGAAGGTGTATGAAGTTCAGTCTAAAGATGATAAAAATACCTTTGTTTGATGTTTACTTTTAAGACTTTTGAGCTATATGTAAACAATGTGAAGCCTACATTTCTAGTGTCTCCTGCAAAATAATGAAATGAATACCAAAATATTTGTGATTGAGATCATTATCGATCCACCCATTTATACTATCTGTTTGACTTTATTATGAAAGATATTGGTTACGTGAATCGACAAAACGGTGAACTTGAGGGCTGACACGATGAGTCAGAACAACAGATATATACTAACCAGCTTGTACTAAGACCCTTAGTGACTTGACCGAACCTTGGACCATTGAGAAAAGAAAACAAAAGGTTTATTCTATGCTCCAGCCGATGACGATGCAAGGTTAAATATATAAGCATTCATACATTTTTCGACATATCCTACAGAACTATCCGTTTAGGATCTATCGGTAGGTGTGGCGATTAATAATGTAAAATGATGACTGTGATATTTAAGTAATAGATCAGAAGTTGTAAGAATAGTCACAGCTTAGTAGTAACAACTCTTAGAAACTTACAAAACATGTGCTTCAAATGTACGGATTTCATATTTCCTTATTAGTATTGGATGAACAAAAAAAACTGGTGGAAATGTGCATTGATCTTACTTTTCACTCTTTACATCAAAAATAACACGAAGGAAAATAAACAAGTGAACGACTGCAGTAAAAAAATTACGCGAACGAAAAAATGAAAAATTGTAAGATACAATCTAATACATACTGACTAAATCCCGACGGAGGATAAATAATAAGAAAACTAAAAACCAACTAAGCAGAGTAATAGAAATTGGCTAAACTATAATGTGAATTTATAGGATTGACAATTGACATTGACAACTAACTGGTTAGCAACTTTTATGCTATCATTCAGAAAATTATTTATGAGCCTGTTTGCAGAATGTATCTGCTAATCAGATTACTATAATCGGTTACGTGTTATGAATAAGAAATATAATTTTCTTAATTCATCGTATCATTTATCTACACAGTGAGGTTTTGAAACAATCCAAACGGATGTGCGAAAAAATGCCATGAATAAAAATTGAAAAAAGATATGTAATTAATCATTTGAAAGGAATGAAAAACGTATAATTATCTATGATTCTTCACATCACTCACTTTTTTCTAGGACATTTTTTCTATGAGCAAACGTTAATCGTTTATTTTCAACTTTTCTTCGAAGTACCTATAAAAAATAATTAAAGTTATAATTCACAACAACAATAGAACACACAATAAATTGTTTTCAATATAGTGACTCTTAACTTTGAGCATATAATCATAAACATTTTGAAACTTTCTCATGATGATCCAAATAGATAATGTATTACAAGAGAAAAAAAGACAAATTAAAAAAGTATTTACAATTTTTAGTAAAACAAATAACTACTATACGGTCAGTCAGTTAGCTACAACGTAGGATCATGTAGATATATGCATAGGTCCAAGTTGCCACACCTCATTAACACAACATCAACACCAAATTCATACAAGTACTTACTTCAATGATAGTAATATATAAAAGAAAGATTGTGTATAAGGATATAATACAGGAAAAAAGAACTGGTTCGTAGGAAAAAAGGTATAAAGTAATTTTAATCTCATGGTTTAAGGAAAGACAGAGAGTATATACACCGACGCCATCATGATCGATTGTGAGCCATGTCACCCACAGTCTCCAACCATTGGTTACGATAGTCACGCAGACCACTAGCAAGTAGTCCGCATCTTCTAACATGGCTCAGACCAAAAGTAAGTTACTTCAATGACTGATGCCACCTTTTGGTTTGGTCACCCCTAACTTTCTTCCAGCCGTCTCCAATACTAGTCAGTATTGTGCGTCGTGGTGAACGGTGTTCAGGCATACGTGACAGGTGGCCAAACCATCTCACTCGATGAAGATTTACAATCTCATCAACTCATTTACCATCAGTCCCTAATAGTTTGTGTCTGACCTCATTATTACTTACCCGGTGATCCCATAAGATACGAGCAATGTTTCCAAGGCATCTGTAATCAAATACTAGTAACTTACGAGTATCTTCTACTCTTCATGGTCACGTTTCGCATTTGTAAAGTAGAACAGAACAAACTTCCAAGCAGTATACTCGTCTCTCAATTGATAGACGGATACCTCGCATTCGTCATACGTGGTGACGTAAGTTGGCAAAAACCAAACGGGCTTATTGAATCCGTGCCGAAATTTCGTCAGATACCAACCTATTAGGGCTGACCAGACTTTTGAGATAAGTGAAGTTGTTGGAGCGTTCGACTACTTCACTCTCTATCCTTAGTTCAGGTGTTGATGCAGGTCAGTCCTGAAGCAACAACTTGCACTTAGAGAGGGAGAAACGCATTCCAAAAATTCTGGCATTGTTGCGCGGTGCTACCAAAACACTCTGCATTTTATCAGCAAACAGGACTATGTCATCTGCGTATTTTAAGTCGAAATTTAGTCGACCAGAAGGTTGTTACCGTCAGTACGTCTATGATGAAGTTGGACAAAAACGGAGATAGTGGACAGCTTTGACGTATGAGTACCGAAAACAAGAAGTGTTGCAAATACATAAATCTGAACGATTACAAGTGCGCATATATCATTTACTCAATTACAAAAATAAATATAAATATGCCTTAAAAACCTACTGATATTTTCCTGATATCTCGGTGTAACTTCTCAGAAATCGGTTGTAAATAGCCAGATTTTGTTTCATCTACCGACTGATTTTTTGATTCAGCAATTTTATTGTATGCTTCTCCACATTGAATAAGTGCCAGACCTTGATGATATTATTAAAAAAAGAAACGGCAAAACACATAGAAATTAATGCGAGGTAGTATTATACTTTCTAGAAGTAACCAATGAGAAGCATATTCTGGAAACGTATTTGTATAAAGCCATTCGGGAAAATGCAGGACACACAGTTTAGTATAAAACCAATACGATATGGTAATTTTATCTATATTAGAGTTGTGCCATGAACCCTACTTATTAAACAACAATAAACAATACTTCATACCTATTTAAACTTATTCAGATAGTTTTAGCTTGAGCTTGTAACCGATTGGTCGCAAGTCAATCAAATTACAGGTCACAAGTCAATCAAATTACCAGGTCACAAGTGATAGTCAAATTAGTCGATTGTGTTATGAGATAAATGGGATGAGATTCATAATAGTGATCTAAGATACTCAATAATCCAATTCACTTTTCTACTGAGACAGAGGTTTTGGAATCGGTTTACTGGACGCACAATGTGTGAAAGTTATTTTATGTCACAGAAAGTATAGCTAAAGTAGTCTGCGGAAAGTTTTAAGGAAACATTTAACGCCCTTATAAGTAATCATTCTACAAAACCGTTGCACAAGTATAAATACTTGTCAACGCAAACTGTTGTTCACAAGTTACTAGGTGTAAACTGAATATCCATTTCCAGTTGAGAGCACTTGCACTTAGCTATCCAGATTTGCATATTGCCAAGAGAATGACACAAATTATTAAAGTTGCGTGAAATACGATACGCTGACACAGTAATTGAGAGACGACGTAAATATTAGCAAAAACAACATTTCCAAAACATAAAAACTTACTCAAACCGGGTTGCTGACTTAATTGTTTTCCATACTCCAAAAAGCAGTCAGAAAGAAACCTCTCTGCATGAGGATAATTCTCATTGTTTGTGTTTCCCTGAATTTTATTTACGGCAGAACTAGCCCATGCTCGTTTTCGCGCATTAGGGTTAGGTTCTAAACAGTCAATAACGCGCTTTTGTACATCTTCATAAAAGGCTTTGTATGAGTCTATAAGCTTTTTAAGATTAAAAAAGGGAATGAAGCATGAGACGAAACGCTTATATAAGATCAAAAGTATGTTTATTGATTCGATTCTACAAGGAATAGTAAGCCAGTGATATGGAAAGCTAATGCTTAATACGGCAAGTAAAGTACAACCTCCACGTTCAGTCGCGACCCGATTCTATGTATTAAGTAAATGACGAAAGCTAGGAATTTAAAAAATGGTATATTAGTGATGAAAGTCGTCCACATTTTGTTTAAGCGAGAACTGGAAGCAAAAATCAGTCAGTCAGTCAGTAACAACGTAGAACTTCGTACGTACGTACATCAGTTCGAGTTGCCATACCACATTAGCACAGAGATACAGTTGTCGATTCAAACCCCGTAGTGGTGGAGGTAGCAAGAGTATAAGCAGTAATCGGGAAGATTAGGGTTTGGAGATGTTATTTAAAGAGTATAATCCAGTGAAATAAATTTGAAAAGAGGAAAAAAAGGACATGAAGAATTCAGAAGATTAGAATTTGGGAGAACACAAAGAGTGGATGCACTTGCGCCATTGCAAACGATTTTGAGCCATGTCATTCAGGGTCTCTAACCATCGGTTGCTATCATCTCGTGGTCCCCAACCAGATAGTCTACACCTACCAACATGGTTTACAAGGTTTTAGTAGTAGAAACTGCAGTTGTTTATGTACGTATTCTATTTTGAATAAGCGACAGCAACAACTCGATATGAGACACTTGTAAAGTGCTAATCCAATTTAATTGTAATGATGAGATGGTACATACACACATACAACACAATTAATGTTCAAGTAAAGTTTAGTAACTACGCTTCAGCAAAAATTTATCTGTTATCTATGGGTTCTAATTTGAACACAGGAATGGTAATCTGATCAGATGTGACGTGATACATCTATCGTATTTGAATATTCGATATCGTCAAACCCAGTCAACCCAAAGTTTGGTTAAGATGCTGTGTCTAAAAAAATTGTGCCTTATAAGCCAAACTAAAAACATGATCAAAACGAAACACAGCTGCCATTCATTTTTGCTACGAATAGTGCAAGTTAATGCTGAAATTAGCTTATATAAACCTGTTTGATTTAATACATAAAAAGTATGTCATGAAGTATTACTGATCGATTAAAATAAGTTATGATTCCTACTAACCAAACTTGATTAAACAGAAGCCAAATTTACTATTAATAAGTTAACTGACACCAAAACTTTTAAAATTGGCAATAAATTAAATCTACTCAACTATTCTAGGGAAAGCGTACCATTAAAGAAGTTACAAAAAACATATCGCAACCAAATGAACTGCTTGTGTATTTAAATCAGACTTCGATTCATATTTTCTCTTTAATATTATACAGAGTATACGAGAATTTTCCGTTGTGAAAGTCTGGAGCATATGTTTATGTATTCTCACAAAAAATCATGAACATCCTGACTCCCTAACTATTTACAAGCTGTTTTATTGAGTTAGGGGTCAAATGTACTGCATTGAGATTAACTAACCGTTTTAACCACAGCAAAATAAATGGGTTTAGAAAACATGACGAAGTAGTCGTAAGTAGAGAATCTGAACCGCTAAACTTCAAATACTTTTAGTTTCTGAATTGTTGCCTTGAGATGACTTTTTATACTTTAACGTTTCCTGAAAATTTTGAACCAAGATAGGCTATATATTAGTGATATTGAATGACGAGGAATTTTTTTGAGCGGAGGAAAATGACACGACAATTTTTACTTCGGGTATATGCAGCGACGACTGACTGGAGTCACATTTCCTGACCTAGATTCAATATTTGGCTTCGTCCACCAATAAGTCGTAGAACGAATTCGCTTACTAGAGTATCTACACCTACATGTCATCAGACTTAGACCAACGACTTGAAATGAACCGTGTGGGGAGAAAAAAAATAACTTGATAGTATCTTATAAACACAGTTCCCTTTGACACTTTGGAGGAAACAAAAACAAATAATTAGGTAGACAAACATGAACTTATTCTATTTCGTTAGGTTCTCATCAGATGCTTACATTCTGTAATATTTAAAAATCATGATTGGAAAACAGGTTGGAAATGTTCATACAAAAGACAGTAATAGCCCCAACGGGCTTTTGAAAACAAGAGCTTGGCTTCCCATCAATCATCTCGAAGTATTTTAAAGTAACAACCTAGTGTCCTGTGGCCAAGAATGTTTACAGACAGATCCATTTAAAGCACTTTTTTAATCGAACGTTTTTGGGAAGATATTCAAAAAGCCTAAGGCAATCCCCTTTTTACTTAACACAACCTCCAACTAAACATAATTGTGTCTTCAAATTAATTTATAATTATGAATTCTAAAAACTAGAGGTTATAAGTGGCTGATGAGAACTCAACAACCAGTCACGGTTAAGCTGCATGTGGCTCATTTCATGTAATGTATCGTAGTAAACAGTGAGTCTCGTTTTTCGTTTTATACGTTATAAATGAAAGTTCTAGTCTTTAACCACTTTTCATACATTTTGATGGCGATAAATGACTATCATCGTACAATCACATTCCAATTTCAATACAAAGTTTGCAAGCGTAATAATGCTTCATATGTTCGTTTCCCCTAACAGTTTACCAAAAGCTTAGTCAAAATGGTACGAAAGTATTTTGAACCAACCTGAGTTAGTTGTTTGTAATCAGGACCCTTGTCCATGCCCTTGGTAGCTCCCAATTTTTCGGATAAAAACTGTCAAGCAGACTTCAGGGATAAGCCAAAATTTTTACCTGATTACATCGTGCTATGTGTTTCTTAATGGTAGACAAAGACATCGCTATAAGTCTTCACTTGAATGTTTGAATGAAGGTAGCGCTATGTTTGTACGACTTCTAAAAGAGAAATATACTGTTGTTTTATATCCACAAAAGTGAGTAGGAGACTTGGAATGGATAGGAATTGTTGAATTTGAAAGTTTGATAAGTAATTAAAAATGGAGGCGTTATTGGAGATAGCGAAACCGAACTAACAGAAACCAATCAGCTGAAGACTTTTCAAATCAGAGAGCGACCTACAAATCGGAATGACCTTATCAAATTTCCAATACTCAATGTCTTAGTGACTCGCTTCTCATTTTCTCACTACGTTCCTAGGTATGTCTGATGGGTGTAAGCTAAGCCACTGAACCAGCCATTCGATTATTATATGTGAGTTTGTATGTCTTGTAATGTATGGTTGTTTTCGAGTAATAAGGTTTCTGTGAAAAACAGCCATCACATTGCCACGTAGGGAGTTTGTTGGCTGCAAATGTTGACGTTTGTAGTGCCAACGAAATGTTGTGGCCCTTGCGGTCAGGTAGCTGAACATTGAACAGTTTGCCGATCCCCGACAACGTTAATAACAGCCAACGACAAACTCTTGCTGAAACGCAATAGACTGGGTTATGCCACAGTAGATCTACTGGTACTGTAATAACGTTGATTGTGATAAACAGTTTTCAAGCTAACCACAGCAGCTGGACATGACAAAAGAGTAATTTAAATTATATACAAGTAATAGGGTCGTAGAATCATGGTCTTGTTCAATATTAGTAGATTTCCCTTTTCATAATAACAATAGACCTTATTCCAAAATTATTGACTTGTCATGATGTGACTGCTTAGTCTGTCAGACGTCACATGGAAGCCATATAATAGTTCACACTGAATCGTCCTAAAGTGACACATTTATCACGAGAACACGACTGGTTTAATGAAAACAATTATTATTATAACCAACTGTACCAGTGTTTGTTTTAACGTGCTTTTGTTTGACTGTGCTAATGACAGCTATTTTGTGCTTCCATTCTTATTCTTACACTTCGATTGTGGCTTCGCGCGAATTCGGTTGCGTTCTGTAACCAAGCTTGTATCCTGGCACGATCTCGGTATCCTTTCGATACCACGAGATCGCCAGCAAATATATCTCGACTTGGTCCATTAACTGCCTTTTGATATTTGGCTTCTCGGGGATTTTATGGATTAATTTGTTTACGTTCAACCTTCGCCTTCTGATTTACTTGGCACGTGTTTCTTGGTAGCGGTTTTCAGTCTTCAGTAATAAGGATAGCAGGTTGATGAACCTGTGTTAATCCTGACACATTGCTTTCCAGTGAAGGTCCAGCTTTTCCTTGAAAGTATTCACTGATGGGGCTGATACCGCTTGTTCGGGTAAGGCGTTCCAATCATTGACTACTCGATGAGAAAAACGGGACCCCACTTTAAGTTTATTAGATCGTGGTTTATGAACCTTCTTGCTATGACCTCGGAGATTATTAGTGCTGGATGGAGCAAAAAGATAAGACATAATAACACCCAAATCATAATTAAAGATACGAAATGCCAGTATAAGGTCGACTCGTGTCCTACGATACGACAAGGGGAAAAGATTTAGGCGTTTTAAATGCTCATCGTAAAGGAGTCTAGAAAGACCCTTCACTAATTTCGTTCCCACACGCTGGACACGCTCAAGGGAGTTAGTATCCTTTACCAGACACGGGCTACCTGCTTGGATACAGTACTCTAAATGTGGTCTAACATATATGGGATATAAGATTCGAAACGTTTCCTCGTCAAAAGATTTGAACGCTCGGCGAAGTGACCATAACGCACGAAAACCTTTGACAGCGGCTGCTTTGTAATGCGTAGTTGTTTTTAAATCATGACTTAATACTACTCCTAAGTCTTTATGCTCTCGAACGCATGGAAGAGGTTTACCCTCGATAGTATAACGGTAACTATTACCGTGACCGATGTGTATTAGTACACTCTTCCTAGCATTGATTTCTAAGCCTCACTCTCGAGCCCATCTAACTCAATCGTCTAAGTCAGCTTGAAGATCCAGATGATCAGCCGCACTTTTTATTGTTCTCCAGCTTTTTACATCATCCGCAAACAATAATGTCGACGACCTAAGTAACAGCAGTAACTCATTAACGTAGAGAAGGAAGAGCAGAGGGCCTAAGATGGTGCCTTGGGGTACACCACTTTTGACCGGCTTCCAATCGGATAGCGTTCCGTTGACCCTAACTCTCTATCTGCAGTCAAATAAGAAATCTCCTATCCACTCATGTACAGTACGTATTATTCCGAAGCTCGTGAGCTTCTGCATAAGACCTACGTGTGAAACCTTGCCAAATGCTTTGCTAAAATCTATGAATATCACATCGACAGACAAACCGTTATCTAGGGCTTCTGTCCAATCCTCCCTCGCAATAAACAAGTTAGTCAAGCATGAACACTTGTTACGAAATCTGTGTTGCTCAGGAGCTAACAGATTGTGTAAATCTATGTGGCTTAGCAACCTAACCCGAATTATCTTTTCAAGTAACTTAACGACTATGCTAGTTAGACTGACAGGCCGGTAGTGTTGTGACGCGTGAGACTGCAGGTTTTTGATAAGCAGCGTTTATTTATCGATCGCGATCTGTGACAGTGACACGTAAGGACGACCTAGTGCCCTGATTGGCCCTGCTTCGCTGTCTGTCCCAGCCAGTTGAGTCAAGAACAGAAGTCACTGCCTCGGAGTTATGAATCATTATATTTCAAACATACTTTGTTTATATACCAATCAAACATACCACATCGTACCATAAAATAGAGAACAACATTTACAAAATATTTAACAAGTGAAGTAAACATCGACCAATAAGAAATGTACATTTAAGGTCCAAGGCCACCGTAGACTTAACACAATAATTATTGGTCTATTTTCCCGACTATCCTAACAGTAGTTAGATACTATATGTCTCTGACCGTCCTTGAATATAGGATTGACTATAGCGTCCCTCCAATCTCTAGGGAGGTGAGCGAGTGAGAGGGACATGTTTAAGAGTGTCGCAAGCGGTTTTGAAATAATGTCCGCAAGAGATGATAGCAACCGTGGATGTAATCCGTCAGGGCCCGGTATCTTACCAGGTTTGAGGTTAGTTATCAACGGAAGGACAGTTTCCTCAGTCACCTGTACAGATTCAATGTTTGGTATCTCGGTGTGAGTGGGACATGTATTTGTTACAATAAACGTAGAGAAGACTTCGCTAAAATCGTCTGAAGAAGTCTCAGCTTTTGCTCGATCTGATTCAGCTAGTAATTCTGAATTTCCGTGTAACAGTAACGGAGGAATACCATCACTACGTTTCATTTGCCGCTTAACATACGAAAACAATCGTTTCGGACAAGTACGGCTATCATATTCTAACTGTCGTTCGTAAGTGGTACGGGATTTCGCTATGGTTTTCTTACAGATATTACGGTATTTTTGGTACTCACGCTCAAATGGTGCATGACCTGTCAACAAGAATAAGTCCCAGAAATGTTTCCTACGCTTTCACAGCTTCCGGGTTTCCTTATTAATCCATGGAGGGCAATGTGATAGCTTATGTGCTGACCATGGGATAAACGGCGACGTTACGGACTCGAATGTAGCCTTAAACTTATTCCATTCATCTTCGATCAATCCATCCGCGTCGACTGACCAATCGGTCAAGATAACACGGTTTCTGATTTCCGGAATATTAGCTCGCCAGATATTGGGACGGGGTGGAGCACATACGAATTGTATAACATGCGTCCTAAACTTAAAGTGAAGTATGACGCGATCACGGTTCACTAGTGGGGGAAGGTGCTGGATATCAAAGACATCCCCAGAGTTGTGGGTGAGGGCGAGGTTCAACAGTGACGGATCATGTTGCAAATCAATATGTGTCCGTTTTGTGATGCATTGTACAAGTGCACACTGAATAACGGTAGATAAAAGGTCGCTATCGAAACCACTACCTGGAGCTGTAAGCTCTATCCAGTTGATATGCGGCGCGTTGAAGTCCCCAATGATCAGACAACATTCTTTGGATAAAGTCTTAGGATAAAGTCGTCAGCAAGACAAGACGGACTACGGTATCTTCCCCCTATAGTCACTAACCCATTTCTAAATTTAATCTTACAACATGCAACCTCACATGTGCCACTGATATGAGCCTTTGATATGGTTGATTGTATACGAAAGTGTTCCCTAACGTATAATATTATACCTCCCCTTTTGCGACTTGAAACTCTATCACTTCTAATACAGATATAACCAGCAATGAAAGGAGAACAGTCTATATCAACGATGAACCAAGTTTCTGTAACAACGATTATATCGGGACATAATTCTTGCACCATCAGACTTAGCTCGGACGTTTTGTTTCTAAGACTACGAGCGTTCGTGTAGCACACACTTAAGGTGTTTTGGAAATCAATCGTTCTACCCATACAGGCCTCGGAAGCATTGGCTTCCAAGACCTGACTACCCGAAAACCCTTAATGGTAAGGTTAGTTTCGCTATTTAATTTGCGAGTCCTCAACTCCGTAAGAGCATTCTTCCACTTGATTCGTTCCTCAAGCGGCCAATCTGGTCGAATACGGATATTTGAGTCACGAGTTTTTAGTGTGCTTTTCAATAATATGTCTCTTTCTTCAAAACTCCCGAGAACCAGCTTCAGGATTCTACTTGGTTGGGTCTCGCCTCCAACCCATTTACCGAGTTGTATTACTTTTGTAATATGTACCCCTGAAACCTCTCCAGGTAGCACATTTCTTACCAGAGACTCCACTAACTGCAGGTCATGTGCGTGTCTTCTAGCAGGGTCGTTGTCTTTCGACTCCTCTAGATTCCAAATAATTAAACTAGGGAGGGGTTTAGCTTCTTTTGGAACTGTGTTCACAGCTTTCGACCGTGACGTTAGATCCTGTATTTTAACTACTGGTATCTTACGATTAGTTTTTATTGTAACAGAGTCATGGGAGTCAAGCGAATGACTCACAACAATGTCAGACGAAGCTTTACTATGGGACTTTGGCGGATTGGTCTGAGAGTCCACCAAGGACTTACCAAGTAAACAGTCATTAGTTTTAGCTATCTTTCTTACTGTTCTGCGTTTTCGCGTCATAGATTTTCCATCAGTCGAAACGTCTACATTAGAACAACTCGGGACAGTAATTGTTTTATCTGGGTCACCGGTTGCTGCTGTAGCAATATGGCCACCAACATCTAATGAGGTGTCAC